AAGGCTGAAGGGACCAGGCTCGTGAGACGTCCGAATCGGTTGCTGGTGCTGAGCGTGGATTGTCTGCGGGGCGGCTGGGCGGGTGGCCCTCGCTGGAGCAGGCACAGGGCACGTCGGAAGTTGGTGCGGAAGTTCTGGCTGAAGATGCTGTACAGCACAGGGTTAGCGGCGGAGTTCATGTAGGCGATCACGATCACCAGTACCTGTGAGGGAGGAGGGGGGGGGGTGGAGGAAAAATGACGGTGATGGTGATAATTATCAGAAGAAGAAGAAGAAGAAGAAGAAGAAGAAGAAGAAGAAGAAGAAGAAGAAGAGTGGCAAAAAGAATAACTACAACAAAAACGACGACGACGACGAGGAAAACAGCAATAACAGCTGCAGCAACAACAACAAAAACAGCAATAATAATATCATCAACAAGAAGAAGCAGAAGAACAACAACAACAGCAACAACAACAACAACAACAGCACTAACAACACAAAGAAAACGTAAAAGAAGAAGAAGGCAGGAGATTGAGTTACTCGTTATCTTCATTGTCCAGATTTTCTTGAGTTATGTGGAGACTATCCTGAATTTAGGCTAAAATGGTAACAACTAATAAAATAATAGTTCTTTTCACTTTCTACAGACATGATGCAAAGGGCAATGCACACTTCATAGTAATGTAAAATAATACGTTTCTACGATCGTATTATGGAAGCATGAGTTATGACGTCACACCAAATAAGGGGATCCTCTGAATAATGAAATAAACAAATATAGCAGTGGGTAGAGTTGCTTTATTTACACGGGGTCGAGGTAGCCAACTTGTTAAATGTTCTAAATAGTCCCGATGAGGGCTGCTCAACTTCTACAAGTTTTCTACTTTGTATGATGATAATTCAATCTGTAAAAAAAAACAAAAAAACTTGTGCGCCTTCAATGCACTTTTTAACCCCTTCACAGCCCGGTGAGAGACTGAACAGGGTATTGTGAAGCAGGTCGGGCAGTGAAAGAGTTCACACAGGCGGGAACATTTGGAGGATGAACCAAGTGCAGTGCGCCAGCTGATATCACGAGTCACAAGCCAACATTGTCCCGACTGACGTGCTCGTTTGTGAAGATAGAAGGTTGGGAATTAGGGAACGTCGCTGCTGCTTTAGAACTTTCCAGATCTGACATGCCTGAAATTGTCTATGAGTAGCTGGGGTATTGCAAAGTGTCGGCTGGATGGTTTCCCTAGAAATCGGATGAAAGGAGACTTGGACTAATGAACAAAGGTAGTATACTCCAACAAGACAGCGCGATTCATCAATAGAATGAATCTAACTACAAACTACGTATAGATACATCTCTGTGGGGAGTGGGTATATTTTCATCTTGCATACAGGCCAGACCTAGGTCTATTAGTCTTTCATCTTTCAATGGAGAGGGACTGAGAGTGCACGCCTCGAGACTAACATGAGTTGAACATTTATCAATACTTCTTTGTAACCCTTTCCAGGTGGGCCCATCGTCTTATCTGTAAAATTTTGTTTTTGGTTAAAATCGTTTAAAGAATTTAATAAAATGAAAAAATAATCATGTTCGATAGGAAAAAGAAGTCCAAGAAAGAACGCAGAAGCAAACAGTCTTTCTCTTGGTTGTTTTCTCTTACAATTAACTTTGACATGCTGCACATTTTGTTGGGACTACTAAACAAGACCGCATGTAAAGAGATTGACAGTTATGGGCGGGGTCACATAAAATACGTCTCTCGTCTTGTCAGGTTCACTGAGCCACATTTACCATTAAATAAATGTTTACAAAATATAATAATTATACAGCAGATGTTCCAAACCCACGGCGATCTCTTAACCAGCGGTTTACAAGGAGGAAATATTATTATTATACAATCAAAACCACTCTAAAAGCCACCTGTCCAAGACAATCACCTCTACAAAATACCACTTCCCACTTCACCTTTTACATTTTGCCTGTACTATAATGCCACTTTCTAAGACATTAACCTGTTTAAGACTATCACTTTTCTCCTCGACAATGGATGGTCATTTTGGACATTTTCGACTGTAGGTTTTTGCTAATGAGCTGCTAGAAAAAAATCAACTATGTTGCAAAAATAGAAGATATAATAATATACAGTTAGAAAACACATATAAAAAACAACAACATCGAGGTTCGAGTAAAATTTTTAGTTTTGTAGCCATATTCACGTTTCTTTTCCGACAGCCCTCGTATATCATATGGCATTACTTTTCTGCGATAGTCCGATTCTTCTCTCTAAGCTGAGAGCTTTACGTTTTTAAAAAAATTGCGAAATTGAACGTTATTACAACAAGTGTCTTATTATTTTGTTTAAAAGTCTTAGTTTAAAAAAAGACCAAACCGAAAAAAGAAAGAAAGAAAAAAAAATTATGTATAAATTGAACACAGAAATAATAATCGTAGCTTGACCAAAGAACACCACGGTAGTTCAAGTGTTTACAATTATATACACGTACTTCAACACAGTTGTTTAATAAATGTTTGCAACTGTATACGTACATCACGGTATTTCAAAGGTTTACTGTATACACGTACAACACCACGGTAGTTCAAAGGTTTACTGTATACAAGTACATCACCACGGTAATTCAAATGCTTACTGTATACACGTACATTGAGAGTCCAGGTGTCACGGAAGTCGTTCTGCTTGACAGTCCGGTAGACGAGGAGCGCGTGCTGGGGGGAGTAACTCACGAAGTAGACCACCACACTCACCATGAGCATCTTCACAACGCCCCTTCTAGCCAAGAGCGCGTCGCTGGCCCTCTCTCTGACAATGAGATGAACGGGTTACGACATGGGTTAGACGGAAAACAATTAAATGGTGATGTCCGATTCTTAACTTGTATGTATGGGTGAACGCCTATTTTCATTTTTTTTCGAATTGGAGGAACAGTAAAATAATTTTATTTCTTCCTTATTGCCTTAAAGAAATGCCCAATAATACTATTATGCACTGGGCGTCTATTTTTGTCTTTCTTTCTTTAAAGAATCCCAACCAGACTGCACTGTCATCTGGTATTGCGATTTTACGGTTGTGATTTGAAACAATAACTTTCATGTTGGACCTAACTCGGCTGATTTAGTGAGACTGACGAAGTACATTTTCTAGTCGACTTGATGATTTGATTGATCTTATTAGTCATATCGAATTTGGAAAGAAATTAAACTATGTGAACAAACCAAAACATCACCACATTTTTGAGTTGTGTTGAGCGCCTGACAGGCTGCTCCATAATCTCTCTCGATTATAACAGTTTCTAGTGCATTTTTAAGTTATTCATACAGTGGATTTTTATATCAGTGTATTCGTCATTTGACAGTGTATGTGGTGATGTAGGATTTGTACAAAAACAGTCAGTATTTTCAATTAAATTATCAGTTTTCAACTCGCCATGATTGACTTGCTATTTTTCTATTGGACATTTTTTCTTCTTCTGGGGTCTCCACTCCGTCAACCCTCGAACGTTTACAACAACAAAGAAATTTTTTCTCCTGAGTGTCTCGTGAAAACTGTTCTCCGAGTCTTTTCCAACTCTGTGCTCGGGAACAAATGTGTGAATACGTGTGTTTCTCCCAGCTCTTGTTCGTGTGTTAGTGTTATACCAGTGAAGTGGAAAAAAAACGAGAAGAAAGAAAAGAGGTGGACGACGAAAACAAAGGACAATCCCTGTGGTGTTAAGTGTTTATGATTTAGAAAATTCGTGCATCAGCAGTAGACCGAAAAACAGAACTAACATTAACAATTTGGTCAAAATCGACTGTCGAAACTTTTTGCAAGAAGAAATACAAAATGTTAGAGTAGCGTGCCTCAACACCAGGTCATGCCGTAATAAAGCAGACGGGTTAAATGATTTAATTATTGAGATGAACCTTGATATTTTTTGTATAACAGAATCATGGTTGCAGGAGTACGGTGACGATGCGATTTTATCAGCAATATGTCCAGTTGGTTATTTAATTAAGTCTTTCCCTCGTGTTGGGCGTAGAGGAGGAGGAGTAGCATTTATTTTTAGAACTAATTTAGCACAAGTTACTGTGAAAAAGATTCCCTGTCACTCATGTGAGGCTGCTTTAATGTCCTTCCAGCTGCAGTCCCAAAGCATTACCATCTGCTGCATATACAGGCCACCACCGAGTAAAGCAAATTATATCAAATCATCCGTTTTTATAGAGGAATTTCTAAATTTAATTTCATCTCTGAAGATGAAAAGTACACCATTCATTATAACTGGCGATTTTTATTTTTATTTTGGCTCTGAAAACCCTGTCACTAAAAATATAAGCAACCTGCTGACAGAAAATGATTTAAAACAACTCGTACAAGTACCAACACATAAAAGTCAGCACATCCTAGACTGGGTTATCTCTCCTATTGAAAAGAACTGTGTGAAAGGCATAAACGTTCTGGACAAAGACATTTCCGATCATTATCTTCTTATTGTTGACTTGAACATCAAAAGACCAAGGAAAGAAATAAAAACAGTTAATTCCCGAAATCTGAACGATATATATTTACACCAGTTTCAATGTGACTTTCGTGATGCTCTTGCTATTAGTTCCCCTTTTAATATAGAAACCCTCAATACCATCATGAGGAATATTTTAGATGATCATGCTCCAGTTAAAAAACGAAAATTATCTCATCGACCTGTTGGTAGGTGATTTAATTTAGAAATAAAGGCTGCAAAAAAAGAAAAAAGACAAGCGGAAAGAAAATGGAGAAAAACACGACTTGAAGTGCATAAGGGAATATTTATTACTATGAAGAATTCTGTTAGTAAAATGATTACCAAAGCCAAGCGTACTTTCTTTTTGTCAAAATTTGAAAATGTTAAAACTTGTAAGGAACTTTTTGATGTTTCTAGTGAACTGCTTGGCAACCAAAACAGAGCTGTATTACCCCCTGGCACCGATAGAGATCTTTGTAGTAGTTTTTTAGACTTAAAAAAAAAAAAATCACCTCCATCAGACAAGAGCTCGATAAAATGTGCGCAATTGCCCCAAATTACCATCAGTTTAAAGGGTTAGTCATCGATTATTTTACTCCAGCAACGGAAAAAGAAATCAAAAAGATCATATTAGATAGTCCATCAAAAAAGTTGCGCCTTAGACCCTATGTCCACCAGCCTTTTAAAAAAATGTTTGCATGAACTTCTTCCACATATCACCCAAATTGTAAATGATTCTCTCCTCACAGGCACAGTACCAAATTGCTTTAAGACAGCACATATTAGACCCCTTTTGAAAAAAATTGTACTTGATGAAAAGGACTTTAAAAATTTTAGACCAGTTTCAAATCTTTCTTTCCTTTCCAAAATTATTGAAAAAGTTGTATCTAATAGACTGTTACATCATATTAAAGCAAATAATCTTAGCGAAGTCTATCAGTCAGCATATAGGCACACCATAGTACCGAGACAGCGTTACTTAGGGTCTGTGCTGATATTTTAAAATATATTGATGAAAAAAAGGTATGTCTTCTTACTCTTTTGGACCTTTCGGCTGCATTCGATACCATTGATCATGGTATTTTACTCGAGAGATTAAATACTACTTTTGGCATAAAGGGTACTGTCCTGCGATGGTTTGAGTCATATTTTAAGGATCGAACACAAGCAGTTGTGATTGGAAACACGTGTTCTAATAATGTTTTGCTTAGATGTGGTGTTCCTCAGGGGTCTGTTCTTGGACCTGTCTTGTTTACAATGTATACACAACCTATTGCTGATATTTTAAGACAATATGGCATGAATTACCATCTTTATGCTGATGACACTCAGATTTATAAGTCTATTGATTTCGATCAAATACCACTTTTAGTCGACTCTACTGAACAATGTACTAGAGATTTAAAAATATGGATGACCAGCAATAAATTGAAACTAAATGATGACAAGACGGAAATAATGTTGAGTGGAAATACAAAAGCCATTAAAAATCTCCCAGAGCTACAAATTGATATTAATAACCATACCATTCGTTCAAAAAGAAGTCTTAAAAATCTAGGGGTTCAGTTGGATTATGATATGTCTATGTCCTCCCAAATAAGCCAGCTCAGCAAAAGTATTTACTTTCAGCTTAAGAAAATTGGCAGTGTAAGAAATTATTTAACGAAAGCAGCAGCCAAGACACTTGTAACAACACTCATTTTATCAAAGTTAGATTACTGTAATGTTATTTTGTCCGGTTTGACATCCGAAAAACTATCAAAGTTACAAGTACTTCAAAATCAAGCAGCAAAATTGATAATGAAACAAAAGAAATCAGCCCACGTAACACCAATTCTGAAAGAACTACACTGGCTGCCAATAAAAGAAAGGATTAAATACAAAACTGCCGTTCTCTGTTTTAAATGTATAAATGATAGTGCACCTTTTTATCTTAAAACATTCCTGGAATTATATAATCCACCTAGAGCCTTTAGATCAGCCTCTGACAATCTAATTCTTAAAACTCCAAAACAAAACTACAAAACATACGGCGAGCGTTCCTTTTTGTTCTTTGGTCCCCAGTTATGGAACGAAATCCCATATAAAATAAGATCTGCCCCAACAATTTCCATTTTCAAAAATCAGCTGAAGCATTTTTCATTCACAAAAGCACACCTGTCATAATGATGTACTGTGATATATATGCATGTGTATGCCAGACTGTGAGACTGAAGAAATAGCGAGTGAGAATGAGAGAGAGAAAAAGAGAGAGATAGAGAGAGAAAAGAGAGAGAAAAGAGAGAGATAGCGAGAGAGGGAGAGAGAAAGAGAGAGAGAGAGATAGAGGGAGAGGGAGAGAGAGAGAGAGGGAGAGAGAGACAGACAGACAGAGAGAGAGAGAGAGAGAGAGAGAGAGAGAGAGAGAGAGAGAGAGAGAGATAGAGAGAAAGAGAGAGAGAGAAGGAGAGAGAGAGAGATAGAGCGGAAATGTTTTTCTATCTGTATAGAATTAATGTTTTAATGAATGTTTCTAGTTACTCACGTTACAACTGTATTTTGACTCTTCGTGAATTTATATTGCATTGTATATTTTTAGTGAACACATTTTCAACCGCACTGCGAGACTGTTTTTCTGGTATAAAATTTTACACATATGCATTTATATTATATGTATAATACTTTGTTTTACGTACACATTTGTGTCGATTAATTTTTAAGATGGGATGTCTTTTTCATTGTAATGCGCATTGAGCATCTTTTAGGAAATGGAAATGCGCAGTATAAATGCTATTTATTATTATTATTATTATTATTATTTTCACGAACGAATTTGAAATACGGAGTGTGTATGCGTGTTTGTTCGTGAGTTTGTGGGAGGAGTAGGGTTAAGGGTAGGGGTAGAGACATCTGCAATCAAGGCTCTTCTTTCCTTCTTTTGCTCGGATACTCTTTTAAAAAACCGACGTTATCCCAATCTTTCACCATCTGTTTAGGCCCTCAAAGTAGGTTGCTCTGGGCAACCCTACCACGTTTGTCTTCAATTATGCCAGTGAGAGCTAGATGTTCAAGACCTTTATGTCTCTTCAGGTGTCCCCAAAACTACATTAATTATCTGTCCTAGATTGTTTATTTGATTTCTTTTCCTTCCAAGATATTCTCAGCAGTCTCCTAAGAAACCGTATTTCTTTTGAAATAGAAAAGTGAAATAGGGCATACGGGGTGAACAGTTTGCAGGGATCTAAACCGTTTCTTTTAAAGAAAATTCAATTTCTAAATAATTTTAAGTTTATTTTTCTTAGTTTTAGGGCGGGGGGAAGGGGGAGGGGGGGGGGGCGAGGGTATTGTTCTGTGGATAATTTCTCACCGATTCTTTTATAATATTATTTCACGATATTCAAGGTGTTTTATTTCCGTCCCCATGGAATAATCCTTTTTGAATAATACAATATATTTATGCTTCAAAGCGAACAAAACATCGTGTTTACAGGAAGCTCATTTCACGAAATATGAATTGTTGCTGTTGAAGAAATGCTCACTTCTATTTGCGTCTGCACCCCCAACAGACAAACGCATAATGCATTTGGTAGTGTGGGGGTGGAAAAAGTGTCATGGTGGTTCAAAAATAGGAACACAATAGTACATGGCAATGTAGAGTTCACATTACGGGAACACATGTTCAGATTTGCAGATGGACTATTTCATATCAAGGGCACATGATCTATGCGGTTTTTGTTATTTCTTTTATATCATCATTGTTGGTCTAACTTGTGGACAAAATATTCCATTTTTTGAATGAACATTTTATGCCGCGATGAGCATTACTCTGTGGCAAAGGAGACACAAGAGAAACAGCCAAGGTGCAGACTTAAACTCCAGTAAAGGGAAAACTATTTCTTCGTAGATCGAACCAATTTTGTCGCCTAACTTTTCAGGGTCACAAACGTCCCTTTAACACCACTTCTGTTAAACTTATTTACAAACAATAACATCAAACCTAGTCGCAACCTGGATTTGAACCAGGGACCTTTGAATGAGAGGCAAACAACTTAATCTCTAGGTCACGAGAGTCCCCGATCGGATATGCAACTGTCCGCTACGGTCTTAAAGAAGTAACGACAAAGAACTGACCTACGCAATTTGTCAGAGGCTGTGAAAAGATGCCTGGACACTTTGGCGTAAAGGGTGATCTGGATTGCAAGGGGAATGACGTAGAAGAGGAAAAACTCGGTGTATTTGAAGACCAGGTAGTAGTGGAAGTGGTCAGCTGGGAAGCGGATCTGGCACAGCTTGACCTGAGGAGAAAAAGGGTTGGGGGTAGGAAAGACCTTCTTGAGTTTAACACTTTGCTAGAAATAGATTACAGGCCTGTCAGGAGGTGTAATGCTAGACACAATGTTTAGGTGAAATGCTGAGACTTAAGTGTGCAGTTCTACTTCTTGCTGATAGCAGAAAAAGACGAAGAGAGAAGAGAGAGAGAGAGAGAGAGAGAGAGAGAGAGAGAGAGAGAGAGAGAGAGAGAGAGAGAGAGAGAGAGAGAGAGAGACCGACAGACAGAGGCAGACAGAGACAGAGAGAGAAGAACAGAGGCAGATACAGAAACAGACAGACAGACAGACAGAGAGACAGACCGACAAACCCAGACAGACAGAGACAGAGAGTACGGGAGTAGACAGAGACATACATGGGAAGACACTGATAGATAAACAGACTTACAAGCAGTATGGATTTCTCATAGTACGCATTAATAGCATGCTTAGTGTTACTGAAAAGGGTAATGATGATTTGAAGTTGTAAAGTTAATACTGTCAAATCTCTTTTAATCACAAGCTGTTCAAGATAATCACCTGTGCAAACGATCACGTCCCACCCCCACCCCCCCTTCCCGATGTTTTGTTTTTGCTCTTTTTCAATACTTGTTACTTGTTACTTGTTACGTGTTACTTGTGCGAAGGACCGACATCACTGCACAAGGGACATCCCCAAAAGCGCTCCGTGCCCCGAAAAAGCACATCTCGAAGTGTGTAGATGCTGACGATTCTAAGCAGTGTTTGATTCCATAACCTTCTGCTCCTCCCTCTAAGTCTTTTTCAATGATACTGTAATAACATTTCCCAAGCAGACCACCTGTCTGAATTGACAATAGTTCTACTCGATGAAGAATGGACCTCCTGGAAATTACCTCTTGGAACATTTTTCCTTCACCTGCAACCATTACTTGTTGTTTTTTTTCACGTGTCCGGATTTTGGTGCCGATACTTGAAGGTTACGTAAACATTTATTGGAATAGTTCAAATTGTTATGTTTCAAGAAAAACAACAACAACAACAGCAACAATAAACAAGGAAAAGAGGAATAGTTTAGTCGCTGATGATGTGGATGTTGATGATGATATAGCTTGTAGTCATTAGATCTCACATTATTTTTTGTATGTTCCTGATGAAGCCCTTTTCCGGGCGAAACGTTGAACCTGTATAAAATTTGAAAATTCTACAAGTCTCAACCCTTTTTTATTCCTTGCTATTCACAATGATGATGATGATGATGATGATGATGATGATGATGATGATGATGATGATGATGGTGATGGTGATGATTATGATGATGATGATGATGATGATGATGATGATGATGATGGTAACGATGATGATGCTCTAATGTCTACAACCGTAACTGACCTGTAGCTCGCTCTTCCCGTCCTCGATCCTGTTCAGAAGTAACGTCGGTATTCCTGCAGCCACCGCCACAGGCCAGATCAGAATGACCACAACAGCGATACGGGCCCGGCTACATAGGATGTGGGCTTTGATTGGTTGGATGATGCCAATGTATCTGGTGCAGTATGGAAGGTTGTAAGTAAAACAGTTATAAGAATATTAGATATTGTGTACTTATACTATCTCTACTTCTAATTTTTAATACTGTAATACTTTTATAATATTAATATTAGTACTATTACTAGCAGTACTAATAGGCCTAATGATAATGATACTCCTTTTGTTGCTCCTCTCAAAAACTTCTCTCTTTTAACACAAATACCGCAAACCTCCCTCCCCTCAGCCCCCCCCCCCCCTCCCCTTAAATTGTATTGGAAGAAGAACGAGAAAAAACTGATACATAGAGAGAGAGAGAGAGAGAGAGAGAGAGAGAGAGAGAGAGAGAGAGAGAGAGAGAGAGAGAGAGAGAGACAGACAGACAGACAGACAGACAGACAGACAGAGAGAAAGAGAGAGAGAGAGAGGGGGGGATGTGAGAGACAGAGACTGAGAGAGAGAACGAGATGGAGAGAGAAAGAAAGTGAGGAACGGAGAGAGAGAGAAAGACAGAGAGAGAGAGAGATAGAGAAAGAGAGAGAGAGAGACAGAGAGAGAAAGAGAGAATGAGAGAGAGAGAGAATGAAACAGATAGACACCGAGACATTGTCAGGGATAGAGACAGAGAAAAACAGATAGAGAGAGGCGGTCTGGGAGGGGGTTGATTTATTATAACCATCCAATACATCTCACACGTATGGCACCTAACCAGCTTGCCAGTAAAGCCAACAACAGGAAAGTATCAGGGTTCAAAGCAATAGGAAGACCAATAAAGACCTGGATCCAGGGAGTGAAGGATACCATGAGAATATTCAATATCCCACCCAGTCAGAGAATCAAACTTGCTAAAGACAGGAAGCTCTTTCTTCCCTCGACGCCCTAGAGGTACAAGAGGACGGATAAAGTAGAAAGTTAAAAAAGTATCCAATATCAAACCTTTCAATGCAGATAGAAACAAGCGTCATGACTGACGCGTAGAGAGAAACCACCAAGATAAACCGATTGGCCTTGCAGAGGAGTTCCTCCAAGATCCATCCTTTGTTCATCATAAACTGGATAATCTCTGGGATGCCAAACACCATGATGACCAGATCGGCCAGCGCCAGGTTTGTGATGAGCAGATTAGTCACGGAGGCTCGCATCTTCCGGTCACACACAATGGCATACACCACCTGGTTGGGCCAAACAAGCAGAATGTACACGGATGGCGAGGACATAATATTTATTACGTGTGGAATCGTGGTGAAATCAGGCGGTCGTCAAATAGAAGAAATGGTCATATTTTTCCCCGCTGAGTTTTTTTTTTTTTTTTACTGATTTTATTTTTCTGGCTATTTTGGGTTAAACATCTATTGTGTTCCTTAAACAATTAATTTTTGATTGAATTGTACAAAAACGTCTTGATCAAAGATGAAAATAACAGACAATATAAATGTAAATTAGCAGTGTCCATGGAAACCAAAAGCTTTGAAAGTCACCAAGCTTTGGCAATAATTTCCTCGCTAATTTGACCTCTGACACCAGGCGAGCTTCCTCTTTCAATAGCAACTATCTGGGCTTATATTCAAGATAAACGAGTATATATAATAATAT